TACCCTTTGCCTTCTGGTTTCCACATTGTGGCACATTTCTGAACATATCTGGACACACTTTTACGTTGTGTTTGATGTGGTGCTCTGAACCCTGTCACGTGGAAAGAGACATTTTCTCTAGAAGTCAGTTATTTAAGATGATTTGTCCTCCCGCTGTAAAGAAAATCAACAGACCATGTCAGACGGCAGGGCAGAGGTCTGTATTTTCCTCTGCTTCCTCTGCAAGCCCTCCTGCTTGTGAGCCTGCCAGGTGTGTGAACCCATCATGATGCTCAATATGGATTCACTCGCTCCAGCCTAGAAGAAACAGCACACAGCTGCCGACAGCAAACCACGGGATGTCTGGGCTTGGAAAAACAAAATACTTAAAACTGAAAAGAGTCAAATCAACACAGCTATGATCGCAGTAATAAAATAAACAATCTCAGTAATTAAATCTTTCCTCCTCTGCTCAGCACTCAACACTCCTGTGTCAGTATGCTGTGTCTAAGAAGTGCTCCTTGTATTTTAATTACAAATGACCTTTATAAGGAGAGTGCAGCACAGTGCACCTGTTCTGTTAATCAAGTGAAACTGCTTTAGGTGCAGCTGCGCCATGTGTTTTCACAAAGGAGTCAAGTTAAACGTTATACAGATATTACCTCACTGGCTTATCTTTCTAGGTGAATGGGTTATATGAGAAGCAGGAAGGTTTCATGCCCTTAACGTTAACGACTATTTAGTTCTGTTGCACAAGTATTTAATGTTAGCTGGAGCTCACCAAAGAGGGAGGCTTGCCTGGAGCTCGTGCTGAACGTGTAGATATTGCAGATATTGTGCAGATATTGATTGCTGGAGCTCCAACTGTGCCATTAGCCCAAATCCTGATTTCTGGACTAGCTGGGTGGCTGGATTGTTGCCGGAGGTGTGCCACGAGACCAGATGTTGATGATTGGAGCCTGGGCTGAGCCCTGTCACCCAGATGTTAACTGCAGGAGTCTGAGCTGTGCCATTAGGCTACAAGGACAGGGTGGACTTGAATAAGCTGGGGAGTCCTCAACTTTGTGACAGTGCGCAGTACCAGTGGGAGCTGCAGTAGGCCACTGACACTCCTGAGGAGCAGCGCATGCAGAGTGGCGGGTGGCTGCAACAGTGTGTTTTTCAGAGCAGGGCTCGTGTTTTCTTTACCAGCTCTTTGCTGGTGTGAGACACCGTCACAGCTCTGGTGTAGTGACAGGCAGCTGGTGATTCCAGATCAGTTTGCTGTAAAGCAAGTGTGACTTATCTTTCTGCCATAAAAAAAAATCAGTGCTTTTGCTTCAGTCAAAACTGATTGTTTGCAGGATGAGATTTTCAGCAGACTGCTGAAGAATGTGAGGTAACTCAGCGTGGGATGGTATTGTGGGGTACCAGCTAGTAAACCCCCAACAATGCGCTTTGTAGCTGAATGTAATTTGAATCTAGGAGAGGATGAAGATTAAGATAAATAGCAAATTGTCCTGTATCTGAAGATTATTTCCCAATTTCCCTACGCGATTAATAAAGTATTATCTATCTATCTATTAGATCACCTGAGCAATCACATTAAGAGTGATAAATTAATGGAAAAACACTGGGTCATATTTTTCCTCTTGGCAAAACGTGGGCCCATCTAATGAGTTTACACTGTGTGGGAAATTTTCCTATAATGTCCCTTCAGTGAAGACAAATCACTGGAGTCCGATTGTTTGATTATGACACAACATAAAATGATGAAACTCACTGTTCTGGTTAACTTCAGTCATCCGCCATGATCAGCGAGTTGTTCATGCCTCCTCCTGTTTTTGCTTACTTTCCGTAGACGTATTACAGTGATCAGACCATGATTTGGCAATCACTGCATTTACTGCTACAGTTATTTAGAATATGCAAGCATGAGGCACTGACTGGTGGCTTTGGGAGAAAGCCACCATCTTGGCTCAAAACACAGGACCGGTGGTGTGGCCTTGAGCCAAGATGGTGGCCTTCCCCCTAAGCCACTTCTCTCTGCCTCATAGCAAGATATTTTATGAGTGACATGTCCGTTTGATATAAACATAACATGGTAGTTTTTTCCTCTTTTCTGCTTTTCTGCCTGTTTTAGGACTTGTTTGACAGTAACTGGAACGGCTTGCGCAATGTGGTCGGGCAGGCAGACATCATTGTCTTGAAGTACTCAGTCAACGACAAGCCTGCCTTCCGGGAGCTGAAGGACAGCTACACTCCAGTGATCAAGAGGCTGCTGAGCCAGTGGGCCGTCCCAGTCATCGTCGCCGCGGTGGGGGCCAGGCAGACCGGTAAGTGCAGCCTGGTGGAAACAGCTTCTGGAAAATCAAGTCCCAGAGGCATTCGTCTGTTGTTGTCTGGTAGCAACAGCTAAAATGAAACTGCTGCATGTGAGCGTCACATTGCCTTTCTGGAGCAGAATCAGGGACGCAATGCGTACACAGGCTACAGGAAGGCGATTCGGACATAGTGAGGCACGTGGTCAGGCGTCCTGGAGCGCGTCGTTTTTCTGCCCAGCGCTCCTGGTGCAGACCAGATCCGCTGCGGCAGCTGGCACCTTCACCTCCCTGGGCGGTAGAGCAGGGGACCCCAAGCCTGCTGGGGCTCGGTCCAGCCCAGCTCCATTCTTAGCTACAACCTCAGGTGAAGACGATGCTTGACCAGAGACTTGGAGTCCTGACTGGAGAGTGGGGATCTTTTGTTATTTAGGAAAAGCAGTAGTTAAAAGGTGAACCGCGTCCTGTTTGGGAGCTGAGAACCAGTGGGGCAGTCCTGGTTCACTCTGCTATGAGGTGAATTAATTCAGTTATGGACCCAGAACCAGGACCCTGGTAGGTCAAAGTTCAGTGTGCTGAGCCTCTCTGGGCCCGGTCCTGGTCCCGCCCCCGCCCCGTGGAGCCTGGCTCTGATCAGCAGCGTCTGACCTCTGACCTCACCCCGCTGCCCTGGTGTGAGTCTTTCCAAGTCGTGTGCAAAGGTCTTCCAGAAACACAGCAGTCAGAAAGTGTTGCTCCACGGGTGGGAACAGAAAAGTCCTGGGATGAAATTAAACATATTATAAGGTCTGTTAAGGGTGCAGTTTCACTGGGGGCTCAGGAGGAACAAACCCAGTGTGGGGACCCAGGACCAGAGTTGGGAACCCCTGTTCCTGCAGAGCTGTTTCAAGCTCTTTTCTTCCAGCATCACCACTTAACACCACTCCCTGTCCTGGGACCATGATGGATTCTCTGGACATTTGGAAATGCTCTTATATACAGTACACACACAGAGTATCTTTTTAACAGTTTCTTTGAAATTGCAGATACTGTTATTCCAAAATATTCCTATGGAGTCTCTTGGTTGTTGGGTTTAATTGTAGCATTTTCACCAATAAATGTGCTCATGAGTCCTCTTGAAAGCTGTTCTGCATTATAATTTACAGCACACAGAGAGGAGGTTGCTTTTAGTACTAATAATCCTTACACTTATATAGTGCTTTTCACTCCACTCAAAGAGCTTTACAGGTAATGGGAATCCCCTCCACCACCAGTTTGCAGCCCCACCTGGATGATGGCAAACATAGTGCACCAGTACACTCCCCACACACCAGCTCTCAGAGGGGAGGAGAACAGAGTGATGGAGCCAGTTCAGAGATGGGGATTATTAGGAGGCCATGACTTGTAAAGGCCAGGGGGAAATTTGTCCGGGACACCAGGGTAACAGCCCTACTCTTTTTGAGAAACGCCCTGGGATTTTTAATGACCACAGAGAGTCAGGACCTCAGTTCTACATCTCATCCAAAGGACAGCGCCTTTTTACAGTTTAGTGTCCCAGTCACTATACTGGGGCATTAGGACCCACAAAGACTGCAGAGTGAGCACCCCCTGCTGGCCTCACTAACGCCTCTTCCAGCAGCAGCCTTAGCTTTCCCAGGAGGTCTCCCATCCAGGTACTGGCCAGGCTCACAGCTGCCTTAGTGGGCTGCCAGCTGGGAGTTGCAGGGTGATAGAGCTGCTGGCTATACTTTTAATTCTGTTAAGTTACAAATTAAAGAATACAGTTTTCATATTGTACTGTACCTGTAACACTACTCCATATAGATTATTTGGGATTACATGAGAATGTTAGTTTTTGCTTCGTGTCCATCTGTCTGTCTGCTTGCAGTATTAGGCTTGCATACCTAATATTCCTGTTTCAAACCCTGCGAGCAAAACAACATGTTCAATTGACCAATAGACGAGAAGTCAGTTTCATCTAAGTGTAGATTACATTAGGTCACCGAAGTGAAGTTTAATTATAGTATTTGTCATATTTAATGTAACGCACCATACCTTTGTTTAATGAAGTTTAGTAAAGACAAAAGCAAGCAAATTTTAGTTGATGGAAACATCTGTTAAGCCATCCCACTGAATTAAATTACATGTTAAAACAATATGTGTTGCGAAGGCTCAGAGAAGGTCATAGGTCACAGGTCATGGGTCATGGTCATGCAGGATTGTCCCATGTGCCAGGCCTGCTGAGCTTGTCTGCCTGCTCCCTGTTCCACTCAGATCAGATAAGGAGGACTGTTTTATGAGACATAGCCAGATTGTCAAAGTGTTTAGAAAGTTAATAATTATGTGAAGTGAAAAGGTTTTCAGAGTTTTCACAGGGCAGTAGCAGAGCCCACACTAAACAGGAGGGACACAGGTCATTAACCACTGATGGACTAACTCAGGGCACTGTGTATTTGCACACTGAGGTCATACTGCAACACAACTGCAGCGCTGTGCAAAACACACCTTCACTGTGTGTTGATTTTGCATTAATTCTTCTTTAGAATTGCCAGTGTTGTTTTAACACTTCTGAAAGACAACCTACACCTCTCTCTTCAGCAGCATGGTACAGTCTAGAGTGTATGGTGCCCTGACAGAATAGAGTTGGCATCTGTACCACACACACAGGGCTCCTGTCTGGGCTGTAGCGCTGGCTGTGATATGGCTTTGTTCTGTTCATGCTGCTCATAGATACAACAGAGGAAGTGATTGTTGTGTAGTGCTCAACAGGGGCAGCAGCGTGGAGCTGTGGGGTCACAGGGGCAGTGATTTGGGGTCACAGGGGCAGTGGTCTCCAAGCTGTCTGGAAAACCTCACTGTTGAACGCAATTGACATTCTATAGAAATCTGAATTCATTGCAGCTCTTGCAGTGCTGTGGGTGTATTTAAAATCCTGATCTGATAACCGTACATAACCCCAGAGCATGGAAATCAGCGTGTTCTCATTGCGGGGTCTGGTGTCTCAGGAGACCTGCTGGATGCCCAGGGCAGTGGGGGTGTTTCCCTGGCAGCAGGGTCACTAGCTTGATGGATTGGATTTCTGCTAAATTATTAAATGAGCCTAGTTAATATGCTGTGGGCTGACAAACTCCCTGTGTCCAGACTGCTGGACAAAGAGCTGCTTACATCAAGGCTTCTGGGCTTTGTTGGTTTGGCTGGTGTGGGCTGTTGTTATGGGGCTGGTTTTCTGGACTGCAGTCTTAACTGTGCACGCTGCCTAAGCTACTGTTATTAATGTGTGATCTCCCATAGCTATTATAGTGATATTAATGTCTGTATCATTCTGCTGTTATGAATGGCAATTAAAAACACCTTTTCAGGAATCATTTTCTACTATACACTTTCCACTGAAACTTGGAAGTTAAGAGTCTCACATTTCTAATGTGAATTCTGGGGGTCAGTTTGAACCATTATCTTTTAAGTTCCATGTTAGAAAAGGGCTTTTTCCAGCATTAAAATTTAGGACACGCTGCTTTAATCATATTCTTATTCTTATTCAATCTTATTCACCCTATGGTCAGAGTTGGGGCTCATTTACTCAGTGTCCCGGACCAATCTCTGCATTAAACACTTTATCTGTGCCTCTCCAAACTCTCCACTGCGTTCAGAGAGCTGTGACTACAGATCAGATCTGAGTGCAGTCTTGTAGCTGAGCCTTGTCAGGATCTGGGGACCATTTTGCCAAGTGGGTGAGGTGTGCTGAATGACCCCCTCTCGTTTGCAACTCTTCTTAACTCTTC